TGGCTGGCAGCCCCCTGGGGGGAGGGCCTTCTCTGTTGCTGCGCCAGCCCTGTGGAATGATCTCTCCGTAGAGATCCGGACCCTTACCACTCTCCCGGCCTTCCATAAAGCCGTCAAGACCTGGCTGTTCCGGCAGGCCTGGGGCTGTTGATTGATATCCAGCCCCACCTAGATGGAATGGGGGATGTGAATTTTAATACTGTATTTTTATGTTTTATTTCTGTTTTTTAAATTTTTTAAATTTTAAATGTTTCTTGTCTGTTGTGAGCCGCCCAGAGTCCCTATGGGAGTGGGCGGCATACAAATTCTAATAAACTTGAAACTTGAAACATGATAAATGCGACTAGGTGACATCATCACTGCACTGATGATGTTACCTAGTTGGGTAATAAAATGTCTGCAAGAAAACAAGCAAGCATCGAGGACTTCCTCATGTCAACCCTGAGCTACAAATATTCTCCTTTATTGGTAGTCTTAATTTCTGTGGTTCGTCCTGAAATTTTGGGCTGCTGAAATTTAGGTTTTATCAATGGAAGAGGACATGTGTAGCTCAGGGTTGAATTGCGGGGTCTCTGAGCTTGGTGGTTGGAGAGTCTCAATCTGGATAGTTGAGATACTCCATTGACACGTCCTATGGCTGTGATGGCAAATCTATGGCATGTGTGCCAGAGGGGGCACACAGGGCCTTCTCTGCGGGTACGTGCGGTGTCACCAGCTGCCGGGTTCCAGAACGCATGCACACCGGCCAGCTGCTCTCATCTGGTTTCTGGCATGCACATGCGCTGACCAGCTGGCCAGCGCGCACATGTGCACCAGCCAGCTGATCGCTTCCGGGTTCTGCTGCTCCAGTTTACGAAACATGGTGCTGAAAAAGTTAACCATCACTGTCCTAGGGCTTACTTTCCTCTCTCATTAACAGCTTGTGATAGCTGTGTGCTGCTCTTGCTGGAAGATCTCCAGGAGATTGAAAGTGACTTCCCTGCCCTGGAACGTCAGTTGACAAGTCTCAACACCACCTCCATTGCCTGGGCCCGCCTGCACAGCATCAACGGCTCCATGCAAGCCATTACCGTATGTGGAGGTTTCCCAGTTCATTGTTCCTCTTCTGATGAGTTTATAAAATTCTAGAGCCGGGATGGCGAACCGAGGGCACGAATGCCACAGGTGGCACGCAGAGCCCTCTCTGTGCACACGCAAGCCGTTGCCCCCAGTTCAGCTCCTCCCGCCGGCCAGCTGATTTTCGGTTCTCTGCCATGCATACATGGGGGGCAGGGCGCACGTGGGAGACATTCACACATGCGTGGGGAGGGCGCGGGGGAGGGCCCCCCACACCCTGTTTTGGTCCCAGGAGGCTTCGGGGAGGCCTGCTAGGCCCAAAACAAAGCATTGGGGGAGGGCTTTGCACGCACGTGGGGGGGGGGCGGAGGGAGCGTGGGGGCTGTTGCGTGCGCATTGCATTACGGGTGTGGGCACATGCACGCACACTGTTGCATGCGCATGCACACTTTCGGCACACGAGGAGAAAAAGGTTAGCCATCACTTTTCTAGAGGTTCTAGATTTACTTTTCACTTGCTGCTTTCCTCACAGAGCCAAGTGCGCGAGTACCAGAAGTCCATCCACAGGGTGAGGCAACACGCCGATGAATTGGAGGAAGAGAACACGGATTTTGTTCAGGATCTGAACGCACTTCAGCACAAGGTACAGCCATTTCCCCCCCCCCTTTTCTCTCTTCCTATATTTGTACAGGTAGTCCTCGACTTACAACAGTTCATTTAGTGACCATTTGAAGCCACAATGGCACATAGTCCCATTTTTCACACTTACCTAGGACCGTTGCAGCCCACACACCCCACAGTCACGTGATCAACATTGGGTCGCTCGGCAACTGGTTCATATTTACAATGGTTGCGGGGTTCTGGGGTTGTATGATCCCCTTTTGCGACCTTCAGTCAATGTTGGGAAGCCAGATTCATTCTACCGTGCTACTCACTTAACAACTGCAGTAATTCACTTCTGACAACGTTGGCGGGAAAGGTTGTAAAATGGGGACACGCTCACGTAACTGTCTCACTTAGCCACAGAAATGCTGGGCTCCGTTGTGGTTGTAAGTCGAGGACTACCTGTATTATAGCCGGAAGAATGTGCAAGGTACTTTAGTGAAGTGATCTGCTAACTGAATCAGAATCAGAGTAGAGCTGGAAGGGACCTTGGAGGTCTTCTAGTCCAGCCCCCTGCTTAAGCAGGAGACCCTATACTATTTCAGACAAGCGACTGGAAAGGCTCTTCTTAAAAACCTCCAGTGATGAAATGCCCACAACTTCTGAAGGCAAGCTGTTCCACTGTTTAATTGTTTTCACTGTTAGGAAGTGACTCCTTAATTCCAGGTTGATTCTCTCCTTAATTAGTTTCCATTCATTGTTTCTTTTCCTGCCCTCTGGTGCTTTGGAAAATAAATTGGCCCCCTCTTCTTTGTGGCAGCACCAGAGGGCAGGAAAAGAAACAATGAATGGAAACTAATTAAGGAGAGAATCAACCTGGAATTGAGGAGTCACTTCCTAGATACACCCATATTA